CTCCAGTTGACCACTAGATGTCTGTCTAACCCCGTTGGTGGATTGCTTCGACCAATTACATCAAGTATTGAGCTCCAGCTTTTAAACTTTTTTTTAAAAAAATGAGCTCCAATTGTAAAGTAAAATAAATCAATGTATACAAAAATTTTAGTATGGATTACAAATTTTAACTGTTTTTGCTGGGACAGGGAGTTCTAAACACTGCTTTCCTGCTACGTAAGCAGACACAAAGCATTGTGGGAAATCAGAACCGTGACCCAAAGCAACAGTCAGCAGGATGTATACCTTCACAATAAGTGTTTATCTGGGAGGGGTGCTGTTGGATAGATCACATGTGTTGTGATTCATTGACAGTCATACCTTCTGCTGTTCAACATAATGATGACTGGTAGATAATTAGTTATTAGCGGAACTGCTTTTAAATTTTAGAAAGTGCAAATCTGCTTATGAATTACAAGAATTAGTAAGACCACTAAAGCGCAAATAAAATATTTAGGTCCGCAATTAGCGGATTTGCGCTTTAGTGGACTGGTGCCCACCACTGTTGTTAAGATTGTTGGAAGGGCAAAATCAGGCCTATATTCAGCACAACTATCCTGCCATGTGACACAGCCCCAAGTTGCAGGAGTTTCAGAGAAACTGAGACTTTTATTCTTTAAAAAACATGATGTCCCAGTGGCTTTTAAACCCCAAAACACGTTACAGCAAAGACTGGTTCACCACAAAGATCCCCCCCAGCACAAACAGATTAATGTTGTGTATGCTGTTAAATGGTATATGGATTGTACTTGTATAGAACCTTTATATCCATCCAGGACACTCAAAGCTCTTCACTCTACAATCATCATTTATCCATTCACACAGCACTCTATTAGGTCTCTACAAAGCTAACATGTACAATCATCTATGAAGACTAATCAGTGCCAATCACATTCATACAATGATGAGACACACATCAGAGGCATTAGGGGTGAACGTGTCTTGCCGGGAAATCGAACCGGCGACCTACCATTTCCAGGAAGACTTCCCTAACCACTCTGCCACAGCCAGTTAGCTGACATAAGGTTACCAACACTTACTTGTCAGAATGTCTGTATTTTAAGGCAAATTAAGTGTCTCGTGCACTCTTTTTGCCAACTTTAGTCAGCCTTCACGTTACAGAAGGCTAGCATGTGCGTCTAGCGCCTCGAGCTCGGCACTCCCCCCTTAAGATGCCCCGTGACATAAAACTGTCTGTCGCTCTCAATGTCCGGCTGATGATTGCATCCAAGTCCATATACTTTAAGTTTATCCTGATGTGTTTGCTTCAAAAACGGTTTAACTGTGTTGTTTAGCTTCTCCATTTATTTACTGTTTATCTTCAGGACCTACCCTGCTGTTAACTGGTTTTCTTCAGGACCTGCCCTGCTGTTAACTGGTTTTCTTCAGGACCTGCCCTGCTGTTAACTGGTTTTCTTCAGGACCTGTCCTGCTGTTAACTGGTTTTCTTCAGGACCTGTCCTGCTGTTAACTGGTTTTCTTCAGGACCTGCTGTTAACTGGTTTTCTTCAGGACCTGTCCTGCTGTTAACTGGTTTTCTTCAGGACCTGTCCTGCTGTTAAC